TAATAATATTGTTTTCTTTTTTATCCATCCAAGGAGGCTTGAAATTGACTTAAAGTAGTAAAATATGGTTTTAAAAAGTGTCACTCAGTCTATAGTTTCAAAATCAAATTCCATTATTTGAAAAATTCAAATAATACTCAAAAAAGAGGCTCATCCTAGTCTACTATAGTTCTGAGATAAACGGCACACAACCCAAAAGTATAAACATTTGAAATGTTTTCTCATTTTGTAATGTAACATAGTTGCACATTAAAGCCTATTCCTCTTTGGAAAAAGCTCAAGCTTTGACAAACTGGCTTGAATACGTCTCTGAATAATACATTTCAAACCTTGTCACAAACAATCAATTAGATTGAGGATCTAGTCTTTGACTAGGCCATTCTTTCACAGTTTTTCTTTCGAGACTACCTTGTATGTAGCTGTCTTTATCACCATCATTAACTTTGACCAGTTTATCTTTTCCTGTTGAAGTGAAACACTACCAGGCTGCCTCCACTATGTTTGACGGGGACGTTGTGTTCGGAGTGATGCTCAGTGTTTCTGCTACATGTAGCATCTTGGATGAATTTTCAAAAGCTTTCAATTTTGTCAACATCAAAAAGCAACATTTGAATTGAGATGAATTTCTCAATGGGGGAGTCGATTTACTAATTAGTCGGTTACACTGGATTTTAGTTAGAGGTATCATAGAAAAGGGGTTTAGATAAAAGTGCATGTAAGAATTTTAGGATTTGCTTGTAAACAATCTGTAAAATCAAGCATCTGTTCCATCTGCTTCTGATCGCCTGACATTAAATCCCAATAATTTAAGTGTGTGGTTGTACTGAGACAAAATGTGGAACAGTTTCAGTTAAAGTAGTTTGTAGATCTTACTTTGTGTCATTTTATTTATAATAAAATCTTGTGTGTAAAAAAAAAAAAAAACCCAAACAAACAAAAAAAAATGCTACAACAAACTGCAGTTAAAAACAAAAAAATGCCTCAAGGTTTTACAGCCTGCAGAGCCAGAGATGCACTGTGTCTTTTACCTCCAGGTTAAATGGATGCAAAGTACGGGCGTCATATAAAACACTATGAAAAAGAAGAAATCTGTTTCTTTTTAGAAGGAGGACTCTCTCTACTCACTGTGTTTGGCATCTGAACAGGGTCCATGTATCCTTGAACGTCGTCGTAACTGGACTGCATGCTTATAATGTCATCAATAACCTCCTCCATCTGCAAAAAAAAAAAAAAAAACGAGAGCAAATGTCATTTCAAGATAATTCAGAAGACCAGTAGATCCAGCTTCAATACAGAAATAAATTACAGAGTCTGAGTCTGTAAAAGAAGTTTAAAGGTCCTTGTTCATTAATTCTAGAAGAAATTTTCTGTAAATAATATTAAAGTATTTAGCCAGTAAAACCACAGGCCCTTTTTTCTATATTTATTTTTTCTTACATTTTAAAACCCCTAAAAGCACTTAGAGAGCTAAATGAGAGCATTTACTCTCTGCGGCAGTATAGAGTAATTTTTCTCTTCGAAAGAAAAAAAAGAGAAATTGCAGAGTTGAAGGCAGAGTGTTGGTCAAAGTCTCCCAAGGTTCAAAGGCCCCAGCGTTCTGCTGTTCCTCTGTCACTTGTTAAGCTGTAATTACAGCAAGAAGGCCATTATGGAGCATTTAAATTCCACTAATTGCCTCTCTCGGTTAGTCACCACTTTCTTCCAACTCACCTACTGTTCCTCTGCAAAGTGCTGCTCCTGCCCACCAGAGTACAATTAAAACATTATGACGCTTTCATAAAAAGTGGAGATCATGTCGCCTCTGGGCTAATTTTCAACCCTCGTAATTTTATATATTGGCATAATTCAGTTATATATTTGTGTTGGGTCCTTGCAAACTGAGCTTTAAAAGAAGACCATGAACCTAATGTTTATGGGTTTATGTTTATTGCACGGTCTGCCCAGCACGCTTGCAGTTGCCTACCTCCTTCTCGTGGCTGGAGCCAATGTTGAGCATGGCCATTGGGCTGTTGGGGGCGCTGTTGCCAGACATGAGCTGCTCCTTACGCATGTGTGGGGAGTGGAGCAGCGGAGGTGCGGACGCCGAACCCCCCGCAGGTCCCATGTTTGTGGGAGGAGATGGTGGCATAATCCCTGCCACTGCGTGAACCGTCTGGGGACACAAAGAGGAGGAAAAAAATGGTGAAGGCGAACTGAGAATGTTTCAAACCAGTCACTGAGAAGAGCAGAAAGAAATTCAAGCACACATGACACTTTTCATATTATTAGTAAACGTCATTACAAACTAAATCTGTTGTTCCACTTCACAGGCACATATTACTTTGCGTTTTTCTATTATATACAGACCAGTAAAGTACATGTGAAAAAGCTTAATACTTTTGCAAGCCACTCTTGCACGGCAGAGCGTTCGACAAACAAATACCTGCTTGTTAGCAAAGGTGGTTGAGAGATATTCTTTCACTTGTTGTCTCCGTGACTGACGGATGTGATAGTCTGTTGGATTTTCAAGGTGGGTTTGCACCTGTGTGAAGTAAAAACACAACAATTCAGTTTAATCATTAAACAAATTTGACTTCTTTCATTGTTTCAAAACTGAAAGTGACATATACTCACATAAATCAGTTTGAAAATTATCCCTATATTGTTCATAAAAGCCAGCCAGCTCAGAATGGTTTAACATTAACATTTAAATCCATGTTTAGACCACTTAGTGATGTGATGGCACAGGATATACAGCAGCATTAAGTCAGTGATGTCTACAGAGGCAGAGCTGCACAAAATCCCCTAGTGTGGCTCCACAGAGTCATGAGCCGGCCTCATTCCTTCACATCAAAGGCCGGAGGTGAGGAGGGAGCTGCCCCCTGCTTCTTTTATCCACTTTAATAGCCGAGAGCTGGGTTATATTAGAATAACCACAAACATTTCAGTAAATAGATGTTTTACAACTCCCTTGTCAAAGACATTTCTGTTGCTGGATCTCATTTTATCTGCTACCCACTTCTGCGCAACCCTACATGTGGATATTTTTTATTCATTGGTACACTTTAAAGTGTTATGTACTGCAAATACACTACTCCAACCCTACTCCCTTTTTCTTTATTTTCTCACTTAAAATACAATTTGGTTTTTACATGCACTAATCTTTTTCAGGAATTTCATATTAACTTTGGGCATTCAGTGAATGCATTTCAACTGCACTAAACAGTCGGGCTGAGTGTCCAGCTGTTCATGCTGGACTAATAATGAAGGAAACTTCAAAAGTTTATTTTAGAAACAAGAGCTGAGTGCCCAAGTTTGAACTTAGTGATTGACACAGGCTAAACGTTACATTTACATTACAGGAAGGAACAGCACTAGAAATAAGGTTTATTCCTGTGAAGTTTTAAACAGAACGATCGACATGCACACAAAACTCTACGAAGTCACTTCTTTAACAACAAGTATCATGAAATTTGGCTATGCTGGTTATTGCATAACCTCGCTGACAAAAGGACAATGAACGCAAACGATTACTTTCCTGTCTCTCAGCTCCTCACCTTGCCGGAGGAACAAAAATCCACACTGATAAACAGATACAATAACAACACATCTAGCAGTGAGGACGAGCAACTGCAGGCCGCGCAATACCAGAACTGACAAACTCCAAAGAAATGTGCTGCAGGAGGTATGACAGCCTCAAAGGGCCTGGCAGACAAGAGAGCTCTCTTCATCTACAACAGGAAAAACGCAGAATTCAAAGACGCCATTCCATTCAACCACACACACGTAAGCAGGCAAAGTAAACAGTCGATGCAATTCAGGCATGTTGCCCCACACTGTTAAGGCTGCGTACATACTGGAGAGATATACAGTTACAAACAGGACAAAAAAACAATGCATCTGAAGGAGTGCTGCACACTAACACAGATAAGGACAAACACAGGCATCTCTGGAATCAGACAAAATGTCACTTTGCTTTATCAGTCCCTGTCCGACCCTATCTGCATCACCCATATCTGGCCTATCACAAAACATGTCAAAAGTCTCTTATCTTCTCATTCTGGCTTCTTCCATGATCGTTGCTCCCCTTTATTTTTCTGTTTTTCCTCCTTTCTCAAACCTGTCTCTGAGTCCTGGCTACACAGCCGACCTCCTGGTCAGAACGCTCAATGGAAACATCCATTGATTAAATCCTCTGAAACAAGACTGACAGTACTATCTGTTTAGCGATTTTTTTCTTCTGTAATGTTGTTGTATTCGGGCTGGTTACACAAAACCCAACGAGTTATACCCGATTCTAAAAATAGGTCGTAGGAGGAGAGAGTAGACCAGAGGAATTCTGTTCAGTGTAAAATGATCAAACCACAGATTTGTGTTAGTTTTTCATTTTTTTCTGCCTATTTACAAGTCAAGATAAAAAGCAGTCTTATGCATTCCCACATAAGCAAAAATTAAATCCAGTCTTCATAAAAAGACATGCACAAATCATTTTACTGATTCGTCAATTTCTCCAGGAGACAAGTAAAACCTTTTCCACATTTTTAAAAAGCAGAATTTCATCAAACAATAAATCAATATATATTTCCCGTCTACAGAACAATATTTTCTAACGTTTTTGGAGCACAGAACATAAAAACAGCGGGTTGGTAACAATCACTGACCTTCAGAACCTCCACAGGAACCTGCATGCTTTGGTACTGCTGTGGAGTGCTGATCGCTGGCGTAGGTGCAGGGGGCCCAGCCATGCGTTGCTGCATGTATTGCATTGCCACATTCTGCTGCTGCTGCCGCTCACGCTGCTCCTCCTGCTGCAGCTGGTCTCGCATCAGCTGCATGCAAACAAACACAAACATCTCAGAATGCTTCAGGAAACCAAGAGTAGAGCAAGGCATTAGAAAATTATGGAAAAGTGAAATATTTACATCAGAAAAAATAGTCAGTTTTATAAAAAAAAAACGTAAACCGGTTGACTAAATATACAGTCCCTTGTGAAAGTATTTAAACCCATTGAATTCTTACACATTTTGCAGCATAAACATTAATGTATTTTATTGGGATTTTATCTGATAGATCAACACAAAGGAGCATGAAATTCTGAAGCCCAGAGAAAGTGATACCTGGTTTTCAAATTATTCTACAACAAAATCTGAAGCATTGTGTTGCATTTGCAATTAGGACTTTGATACCCCTAAACAAAGTTCAATGGAACTAATTACCTTCAAAGTCATCTAACTAATAAACAGATCCAATTAACTGGTGTAATAATACAGCTTTTGCATGAAGGCTCGGTACAACTCTGAGGCGTTCAGAAATCTAATACAGTGGCATTGATCAGATCAGACCAAAAATGTTACTGTATAACCTTTGTGAAAGAAAACTAACACCGGGCATCACCTGCAGTGTAACATCCCCACTGTAAAACCAGTGTCATGCTCCGGGGAGGTTTTTTGTTAGCAGATACATAGAAGTTGATTAGGATTGAGGAGAAGTTTGATGAAGCTTTATGGCCATTATGGAAAGGGGGGAAAAAAATCTCTTTTGAGTATTGGAAAACTTCTCATTGGTGGTTAGTTTTTTGTTGTTTTGGGGGGTTTTTTTTACAAAGGAGAATAGGCAGAATGGGCTTCACATAAAACTCTTGATATAAACTGAAGTTTGTTACTGCAATATGACAAAATCAGAAACAGTCAAGCAAATATGAATACTCTTGCAAAGCACACACCTACTGTTCAATTAAGAATAATGAAATTGTTAAGAGGAATTTCTTAATTACATTTAGGATGAAGACAGCAACCAAATATACTGGCAATCGCTAAGGGGGAACTTTCTGAATGCTTGAACCAAGCATTCAGAAAATGTGTAAATGTGTTTTACCTGCATCCGCAGCCCGATGCGTGAGGCCATGGCTGGGGGCCGAGGCGGCAGGGGAGGGCGACCCGACGTTAATGCACCACAGTCCAGCCCGAGAGGTAGAGGTGTCTGTGCAGAAGATAAAAGGAGATTAAAAAAAAAAAAAGGGAGGAGGAAATCAAAGAGGGGAAAGAGACAGAGGCAGTAGAACTTTTCTGAATTGCTACAAGGTGGCACCTTCAAATGCTTGCAATAACTTTCGCAGTTATTGCAAGCATTTGGACTTCCACATCTTAAAAGCACAACATGCTAAACTTTCTCAAGCTGCTGATGATGCTATATTGTAGTGTCACTGCTACATGATTTCCAGTTAATTTGTCTCATTTTATTTTAAGCTTTTCACTTTTTTGTTAGGGCCCATAAATACTATTGATGGCTTGTCTACTCCACTATCAGTGAGTGAAAATAAACTTCTACTGTGGAAACAGTAAACAAAGCGTAGAGAACCCAATAAGATTTTGCAAGACATACAACCACTAGCTGACTTTCTTCAGTCAACTGGATTTCATGTGAAACAGGCTGTTTTATCAAAAATGCATCAAGAAATTGGGTGCAGTCTGGAATCATTTTTGATTTTTGATCCTTTACAATCAACGATCAGCCAATAAGAAACTAAAATACAATCCCTTTTCAAGTCAGGGAATTCACCACAAATAAGCACTTTCAGGTCTTACTGGTGAGAATCCTCATTGTCAAACTAAGCACTACATGAAACAGACAGTTTTGTATCAGCTGTTTGTTGATGACATGTTTACAAATGAAGTTGGAGGAACTACAAAAGCGGCAGGAAGCTTTGCGAAAGTAAACTGTATATTGCAGAAAAGTCGCTAAGAAATATAATTCTACCTGTCATCCAACATGATGAATGTGGAAACGTCCCCAGTCTTTTGGGATTCTCTGAGTTAAAGTAAAGGTCTACATAGTCGAAAAGGGAATCGCTTCAAGCAAAAATCTTTTTCTGACCAGGTTTTATATGCGTCCACTGGTATTTTGACAATTCACCTTTGGTAATAAGCTCAAAGTCTTAGAGGGCGGAACGCCTCCTTGCCTTTATCTCTACTGCACTACCAGATATTCTCTGTTAGATTCAAGTCGAGACCCTAAGACTCTCCCAAACATTAGTGTTACCTCCAGCTAGAAAAAAAACATGTTGGTAAAAACCTTAAATGCAAACATGGCAGGAGTATGAATACCTTTAACTGTGTAAACACGTCTCTCTAGTATTTTACTGTTTTTAGATAAAGATGCAGAAAGAGGTAGCTTGGCAGCCTTGGTCTGCTTTAGCTGAGAAATAAGTCTGATTTACAATAAATATTTAATTCATAAAATTGTTCAGACATCTTAGCTAAAATATTTTGTTTTATTTTGTAGTGTTATTTATGGTTCTTAAAAATCACGAGCAATAAGTAATGTAAACACATCTCCGCTGATGTTTTCCCCCTCACTTTGTCTGTTGCATTTTATCCTGCTTATTATTCTGAAATCTATATTGTAAACCAGAGTGCACAAGATATACTGTTAAATAAATATTGAGGAAAAGCTATACATGCTATCTTATTTTATTTTTATAGCAAATTCTTTTTTTTTCTTAAAAAAAAAAGAAAAAGATTATATTGTCATTTTATAATTACCTATAACCAGACTGACTGTTCAGTTGAGTTCCTGGATAATCTGATTTCACACAGACAAATATCTCATGTGAATGCAATTAACCGTTATTTGTTTCTCTGTAATGAAAGCAGAAATTGGTCGATGTTATATATAAATATCATCTTTTAATATTCTAGTTAAAAAAAGTATAAATTATGCTGCACTTTATGCCTAGAAGTGTTGTTTTCCAATTATTTTCTTTTCAGTAGAGGACAAAAACACACAAATAAACAAAAAAACAAAACAAATGAGTATAAGTATACTGACCTAAAAAAGGAAGCACAATTTCCAAAGTAAACATCTTTACATTCACTGCTATTAGAGACATTAGCCACCAAGAGGACTTCCTCTATCATGTTGAGGAGGTCATGTGGAAGTCATGTTATCTTGTTGTCCCTGTGAGATCATGTGAGTTAAAGACCAGGGGAACACCCATCTCCCCCTGGCTGCATCTCCTCCTCTTTACTCGCATGCACACATTACCAAAACACTCAGAGGGGAGTCCCAGCACAGATAGTTCCCTTTCTGCAATGACTTGTGTTAATCTCTGCATGACTAAGCCCGCCTGGAACCCAAAAGCATAATGAAACGAGAGCCTGCCCTCTGCTCCGTTCAGCTGCTGATGCAGCATGTGCGGTGGGAATGATAGACAGCACAGCTTCAGTCAGAATCCGATTCATTGGATCTTTCATCAAAAACGCTGTCTGTATATGGTCATAAAGAGAGAATGACCCAGAGAGAAAGACAGACAGAGAGAGAAAAGCTCATTGTGTGTGAGGTACAATAAGAAGGACAGCTCCTATTGAGGAGGACTGAAGCCGCCCGTTGTCCAAAGTGTGCATTTCAGCACCCGAGGGGGCACACACTGCCCGCTTTGTGCCAGTTAGAAGGCCTACATGAATAACACACACCCATCTAGAGATAAGACATTGATACGCACAGGCATTCCAACACAAACTTGGACCAGAACCTGGATTTCAGCAAACAATAACTTTGCACTCGTAGCTCCATACTCCAATGAAGTGATTTAATCTAATATTAATGAGAATTTATCCTGACACCTGGACTTGCACTCCTGCAAAGTGAGTGTCCACATCATTGTAACTATGCAGAAACAAGTCTGCATATAAACACACGCAATAGGTGAAATGTTTGTAGTTCTTTAGGTGCGTCAAAAAATAACTTAAAATCTTTAATTTTATGACTGAACCTGCAACTTAGAATAATAATTGTATGTTGCAAGGAAGGAAGAAGGTTATTAGCATCAATAAAATAAACCTTCTCAATTTCACTTTATAGATCTAAGATACTTTGTTCTGTATTTGTTCTGCTAAACAAAAAAAAGGCCAACCAAACTCTCCTAAAGCTCAGATTTTAACTTAAAATATACACAAATAAGTTTCAGAACATTATTACACTGAACACAAAATCAGCCACGAGGGCTTTATTCATTACCCACCAAGAACCAAACTGCTGCCACGTGACTTAATCATCTCACAGAAAAACCCAGACACCAGATGTGGCACTCAATGCATAATGGCTCAATGGAGGGGTGTAAATTAAAGGTAGAATATAGAGAACCTTACTTTATCTCTAAAAATACATATACTTCAAATTGAGCTGGCTAGCATGGGTAGAAGTAGTGGCACAGGTAATAAACAGTAGCTCGGATCTAGAAGCTCATGGAGTGATGGGAACATAATGATAAAGAAAGAAAATTGCATGAAACATGTTGGTTAATCATAATCTCTATCTTTGTCATCATTTTCATCAATAGTATCACAGTTAAATATTTTTCTGACATCTTGCAGCCCTTGCAGGAGACGTGTTATTTGTGTCCTTCCCCTGTCGTTGATTCTAATGTTACGCCTGATCAGTGTTTAGGAGTTATGAGCCCAGATCATTATTTCAGTCTTATAAATATGTACAGGATCAGTCTCTAAACATTGTTGAACTGAATTCAGGCTTTAAATACCTTTAGCGTCACATTCAGTGGTGATGAAACTAAGAGCTCTCAAGTCAAAGGTTCGTCTTATCTATTATTAGTGCCAAGTTTCCTGAAGTACTGCGAGGAATGAAAACCCACAGGCCTTGTCATCCTGATTCTTCCCCTGGCATGAGACCTTTTACAATCATCTCTTCAATTTCCAGTTCAATCATTTCCCACTTAATAATTTCAATTCATCATGACACAGTGTAAACAAGATGAAGCAGAATTAGAACGAGGGGATTCCCATTCACTAGATAAGAAAAAAAACATTGTGAAGTATAACTCTAAAGTCCTGTGGGGTCACCAGAGGTTGTTTGAAACAAAAAGCAAAACGGACATTGGAGTTCTGGTGAGCTGCTTGGCAGCTTGGACTGGTTGAGTGAAAACACTCAACCAGTTCAAATTCAATTTAAAGTTTAGAGACAAAAAAAGGTTTGTGAAATGGTTCTTTTTTTTATGAGGACAAAATTAGTCAGTAAGGGAGAAAAATCAACATGTCACATGACAAATCAAAGGTGAAACAAGCCGATTTAGCACAATGTAAAAAACTAACATACATGCTAAAAGTGATCATACAAAGAATAAAAATAGTCAGAAAATTTAAAATTGCTTCCATACTGATCCAGACCTGGAAAGCGACAATAGCAAATTCAAGACTTTTTCAGATGGAGGACCTCAAGAGATCCATGGTGTTAATTTATTTTATGAATAAAATTGCTGCTGGAGGCAAAGTGTACAATGTCTGCATGTTCAAGCATCTCTTCCCAACACATCTGCAGCATACAACATCCAGCTCCTACTATGACTCAGCCATGAGGCATACTGTATTACACTTAACATACATCGTTCAGATGCAGCTTCCTAATATCAGACTCACTACTACCAGACTGCATGATCCCATACATGGGCTCTCCCGCTGCCTGACAACCACTGGGGACATTTGTGACGCAGTCGCAGCACACAGCAGCTATTGTGTGTCCAGTGCTGTAATGTCATGGCCTCCTTCACTTCAAACGCTGACAGCCAGTAGGAGGATGCAGAGCGGAGGAAGCCCAGGTCAGAGGTCAGCTATGGATTGTGCCGCATGTTAGTCACGGACACACTGAATAGGCAACAGATACAAAAAGCGTTGCTTTAGGTATGTTGCATGATGACAGCCTAACGTTTTTAATAAAAAAATTATATGATCATAAACTCAAAAGTTCACCCACATACACACATGCACACACACACACAGAGAGGAAGTATGAGGCCATGGCACCTGTGCTTAGAGACATGGTGTTAATTTGTGGAAAGGGTATTTTTAGATGTGACTGTCCAGTGCCAAGGGAGGCCTCTTTGACAGCCAGCACTTAAAAGTAGGATACATACACACACACTACCCCCCTTACACAATGCATATGCACTCTGATTTAGCAAAGGGTGCAGCCTGAAATGCAGGGGGGAAACAAACATTTAAAAAGCATTCAATGGTAATTTAATATTGTAAGAAAAAGACTTTGAATTTAAGTTTAAACAGAAGTCATATCAATATTTTCAGAGAACAGTAGATCAAACCTCAGAAGCGCATCCACTGGAATATAATGAGAGTTTAAATCACCAAAGTCTAAATCTGTGTTTGAGTTCCTGTTTTGTTATACAGTGTGATGATGCAGTCCTCATATCAGTTACCACTGACCTTGGTTTGCCCCCAGCACAATTTATGCCCCTGGCAGATTTAGGTTAAAGAAATCTTCTAATTTTACCAACATATTTCTTCAGCTGGAGGTGATATTAATGTTTTGTAGCAGCGCAGCCAGACTCCTGGCTTAAATCTGATAGAGAATATGTGGAGGGAGCTAAACATCAGGCTCATAGCTTGAAGGCCTTCCGTTCTCAAAACGTTGAAGCCCATCACAGTCAAAACATTAGTGGGCAGTTGCAAAAAGTTTTTTTTTTAATTGATCCTCCTTTTATATTTATTATCTTTTGGGGTATGTCTGTCTCATTTTCTGTCAGAAACAAAGTTCTTGGTTAAATGAAAATTATTTTCTTTTGCATTTTAGGCTAACCTGTAACATAAAGATTATGATCAGATGTGAAATAACACAAAGGAGAGAAAAGAAAAAAAAGCAATTCAAGACTAATTAATCCACCATTCAAGCCCATTCAGAATTTAACAGAGAATACTTCCAGTACTGTTTTTCTCAACATTTCTGATAACAGAAACAGAAATGTTTCTGTTATCAAGTGTAGTGAAACAAAGCCTTGGAGTACATTCATTGAGACTTTTTTTTTGTGAAAAAAAAAAAAATCCTCTCTTATCTTTAAACCAAGTTGTAATTATTATCTTTGATATAGTTTTGGTCTGTATATATCAAAAAGTTTTTTCAGCATAACAATCATTGATGAAGAAAGTCTTTCTGCACTAAGCTGCACGTCTGCCTGCTCTAAAGACTAAAATAACTCTCTGCTCTCTGTTCTCCTTTTCAGGAACACCCTGTTCCCCTGAGGCTTGGTGGATCTTTTATTTATTTATTTATTTATTTTTTACATGCATCTGTGTGTGTGTGTCTTTGTATGGGTCGGTGGGCACGATGGCATGAATGTAAGGGTAATCCCTCTCTACAGTGGTTTGGGTATAACACATGTCAACTGAACTATCAAATTGCAATAAATGCAACTAAAACAGATGTAGAAAGCGGAGAAATGAATGGAAGTGTGACATTGTGGTCCCGATATCACCCCAACACAAGAAGAAGCCAAGCTAATTTGTGAGGCTGGCAGAGAGAGATGCGGTCGGATCAATTTCACATGCCGCCAAGTCAAATCCCGCAGGTGGACTTCTATGACGGCCTATTTAAACATTTAAAAGTACACAGACATATGAGCAGTTACCTGTTTTAGAGGAAAAGAGTTCACAAAGAGGTGTACACCGTGTTTGTGCTGCTCGCTACATGTCTAGTTGCTGCAGAATGACGGTCAGGGGAAATCACGAAGCAAGCAGAGATGGAGACAGGTGGTGAAAGTCCGACAGGAGAAAGAGAGAAAAAAAAAACAGAACATGAAAAGATGAAAAAACCATTGACTGGCGATAAAACATAAAAACAGCCAAAAATGGTAAATCAGCAGCTGTAGATAATAAACCAGCTTTGATCTAATAAAAGTAGAAAAAGTAAACAGCATAGACAGTAAAGTTTTAAAGAAGGGGAAACTGCAGGTGTGAGTTAAACACTTTGAATAGCTTACAAGTGAAGAATTTCCACAGCGGAAGCAAAGGAAGCAGCAGACCGTGGTAAAAGCATGAACATGTAGGCAGTTGGCATGGTTCTGTATGAGATTCTCATTGTGTGTATATCAAGACAAACAGTTTAGCACGTTTAGCTTTGATTTAAGAAAAACAACATTTATTAGTACTTATATTAAATTGGCACAATATATTGATTATCAAAGTTGGAAAGATGGTATTTATGACATTTTGTTTGGTAATTTTCATTTTTACTGATGGAGTTAAAGCGGCAGTGTTATTTGAAATCAATTTTTTTGTGCTTTACTTTTATGTCATGAACTTTTGCCCTCGTCACAAACATACCCAGAGCTCTGCTTTGATTCATTTGATGCATGTTTGAGAAATCCCTTTATCTCCTGTGGCAAACATTCAACAGAGCAAAACACTTTGTGGGACTGAGGGTGAATATCGGAGCTTCTGCATTACTGAGGATGAAGATCGGAGCTTCTGCATTACAGAGCACCCCTCCTCGACCGCTTCCCTGCTGGCCAGCGGCAAATAATAAGCACCTGGTGGAACTGCACATCAGCTGAGTTCATTATACGAGCTACTTCACAGTGCAATGCTAGTAAAAACACTTTTAATAGAGGAGCAACGCTGTGATGACTTCCTGAAGGCAGAGCACTCTGCCTTCAGGAAAAGCATCACTTTCTTAAAGAGACAGAGGCCCAATTTCAAGGTGTTAAATTAGTCAAATTTCTTTTAAGTCATATTTGATGCAGCTTTTTTAAAATAACTGAAGGAAACGTAGTTACTTGATTGTGCTATAGAATGGCATTATGTGGATGGAAAACACATAATAATGCCTCTTTAAACTAAAAGAAGTATAAACACCTGCTAAATTCAGAACTAAATTCAAAAGTTTATTTCACAGAGTTTAGTTATGCATAATTGTAATGGGTTCCATGCCCTGACTAGCTTTTATCAAAAAGCTAGTCTATCTTGTAAAATAAAAAAAAGAAAATGGTTTAATCTATAAATCTTCTTTCAGCCAGCTGACCAGCAGTTTACAGCAACAGCTTGGCCAGTCATTGTGATGCAGTACCCTCTGTTCCATACTGTCAGAGCAAATGGAGGTTCCTAATACACTTTGTCTGACCTCCAACTAACTTCATAACCAACTACTAACTACCTACTACTAGCTTTGAAACGTTTGAAAACCGTAGTATAAGTTGATACTGCTGACAAAACATTAATGCTTCATATTTTGTTGATGTTGCTGATGCATGATTTTCTTTGTAAACGTCTATGCAGCTGACCAAAGGCAGAATTTATCTAAAAGGTCAATATTTAATAAATAACCTCATCTTATTTCAAGCTATATTCAACACTTGCACTTTTCCAGAGAGATGACATTACCAGCTTTTGTTCAAACACCTCAAACATTTCCAAAACGCAAAGAGTGCTTGACAGGAGAACTCAAAACGATAGTGCCACCATCTTGTCGGTATGGTTGAGGCCAAAGGCTGATGAACGAAAGCTCCTGAAACATTCTTAGACATCTTCTGATTGTAAACTCCTGGTAATAATGTATTAAGCGATCTGGAAGCAGAAACTGTCCAGTACATCCCAACTGTATCCAATTATTGTCGTTTAGCTCAGTAGCCAGTAGCCAGAAGGTCATCTTGACATGTCACTGTATCTGATCACAGTGTATGAATCTCTTCACCTGTCAGCTTCTAAGCAATCTGTTAACAGGCATTTAAGAGAGAGGGACTCTGCTTTCCTGAAAATACAGCAGTGAATCCTTTTAAATAGAGATGCACCCAATCTGATACAGCGGGTATCAGTGTCGGACCCGATACCGATATCGTCCTTCAGCACAAGTTGGCTGAGTTTACTCTGTAAGTTCAAGCCTGCTGTAAAAAGTTGTTGCAAGTTTATTTATAGATATTGCAATATGATTAATTGCATTTGAATAGATGTTTTGATAACACGTTTTAAATAAAAACATAACCCATTTGATTACATCTTTCTAAGTTCCCTAATTTCTGGGACCCTGACACACAGTCCTGCCTGTTAGGTGGCGGTAACTTAGAGTTCAAACAGCTGCTGGAAAGATTCACAGCAACGAGAAGACAATCTAGTGAAAATGATGAAGACAAGATGACATAGCTTGTGGAGCAGAAGGTTTCTGGGTTTCATCCATACGATGCATGTTGGTGTGAGCACAGACCCCAGAGATAAATGATCAACAGCAGCCCACGACACGCAAGACAACAGGTTTCAGAGCCAAAACAAGTAAGCCTGAGTTGAGTTGAAAAGATGTGATGATCCAAGATTAATTAAGAGGCCCCTAATCGACCGCACACAGACTAGATTTTACAGACTACAGGGTAAACACTGCTGCAAGGCATCACCTTTTTAAAGATATTTACAGTATTTGTTCTGTGCACCAAGAGGAACACAAAGGCTGATTGGGTAACAGAAAGCTGCTACTTCTTTTATTCATTTGAACTTTTATCTCTACCTGCCATAAAATATGTAGGACTTAGAAATGTAAGGAATCACTTGGAAGACTAAGGTACAGAGTTAGTAATGGAAACTGTTCTTACTCTTAATGCAAGTTTAAAAATGTCATCACTTTGCTTCAGTAAAATAGTGAAGATGACAATAAATGTGTCACATGATCACCATGAGATCTTGTGTAAACACATGACAAAAAAATGCAGCACTATAGTTAGTGGATGGATGCAGAGCAGCTGGATGCAGGATGCTGGGAGAGATGGAGTCAGTTGCAGCCATCATTCATTAACAGGTGGGGTAATCCCTAGGAAGATCTGTAATCCATCACAGGGGCCTAAAAATCCAGCATTAACTGACTAAAGCACTGCTCAGTAAGAGATTGAATACACCATTATCATCAATAAATACCACAATGCAGCACTTCCCTTTTTCTTTCCATTAGTTTTCACAACTCCTAGTTTTGTTAGCGGTGAAGCAACTTCCTCTGCAGGCAGACCAGGGGGGTGGGGGGGGGGGGCTTTATGTCATAACACGATTTCTAGAAGTGGAGATTACTTTAAATCAAGATTCTTGTTCCACTGCAGGAACAGTTCTGGAAATGATTCACTCTAACCAAACTGGTTATTCACCAACTATGCTACTGTGCACTACATCAGCAAGTATGGAGTCTGTTGTTGCTGAACATGCACAAACAGGTACTGAAACTGACGGCTACTGCTCCTAAAGCAACGTATGGAGGACATTTAAGTGTGGCTCATGCTGCTTAGGTTAATGTCACATAGAGACACCTGCATAGGTCATAAAGATGCAGAAAGTCTGGATTCTGTTTGTTTTTGAACAGTCGTAGGCATCATCACAATACTGTTGTTAGCAATTCAATAAAAACTGCTGCTTGTTATATTTCAATAATGCATCCAAGTCTAAAAGCAGCATTGTGTTGAAATCACAAAACAAAATGTGTTCAAACATTTCCAGAGATTCTTACCAGCGATTCTCCTACTATCCCAAAGACAACATAGTAAATCCAGGTGAAGTCTGATCTTCCACGCGTTGCTGTTTGAAACTGACAACTGATTGCTTCCTTGACCCAGCTTATACAGCGCGTGAAGCCACTCCCCTCCCCGATACACTGGGGGACTTACAGTGGGCTGAGTGCAGTCAGTATTAGTCACCTTCTTCTTCCTCTCTAACTGCACGGTCAGCTTCCAGCTCGTCCTCAGTCTCCCCCCTCTTCTTCCCCTAAATTAGTCGGAGTCTGGGCTAACAACAAGGAGAGCGCTGTCTTCCAGTAAACTCATCTGTCACTTTTTTCTTTTCTTGCTCAGTAAAGTGTAACTCCTCCTTCGGTCCAGCCTCTCTGAATCTCCCTCTGTCTCAAAATCAGCATTTACATACAGAAACATTTACCCATGTGCATGTAGAAGCACTCACATAAACACAAAGCCAATTCCTTATTTTGTTACTAGGTCACAGCGGTGTTTTACAGAACAATGCATCAGCATATTTACTTCTTTATTTGCACCCCCACATGTTATCCTGCCAGCAAGCACGCAAATATTCACACACAAATCTGTGAGAACAGATAGCAACTGAGAACTAATGGAGATGAACTTTCATTGCACTTGCTCTAAGATCAATATCAGTTATTCCAAAATGTGCTTTTTTACATTAGTAAATATAGGATCATTTCATCAGACACATATTTTTAATTAAAAAAAAAAAAAAAACACAATCAGAATGCCATTTAATAAACATATTAGCAAAAACTATCAATGTATATTTTAACAAATATGCATTACTTTTAATGTGTGTCATGGATTAAACAGTTGACAACAGTTTAAATTTTATATGAGACATTTATGTGTTGGGTTTGCAGCTCTTAGTAATACGAACAAATCTTAGTAATACGATATAATCAAATTGGACTGGGGTATTACCTCCTTGTTGTTTCTCATTTCTAGTAACAAATTCAGTGGCATTTTACAGTAATCTAAGCTCTCTTTCAGTTTCCTTTACATCATCTGCTTCTCACATGTCAATATCTGTCTCCCAAAAACCATGTCAAAAATGGAGAAGTAGTGTGTGTAAAATCAACAACAGCCTCTCAAGTTAATGAGTAGAGCGATAAACCCGGTACTTTACTCCAACTACACCTCAAGTGCTATATGAAGGACTGATCCTGAAATAAGTGGCCTATTAAAGTAATTTATGTGCCAAATATTGCATTCAAAACAACACAAAATGAGAACTTTAACAACTTATTCCATTATATATTGTAACATAAATTTATATATGTTAATCATTTGCAACAGTATTATTTTTATGACTGTCACTTGTTAATTTAGTTTCCTTTTTTATCATATTTTTATTTATTTATAAAGATTTTGATTTATTTTTATTTATTGTTGTTTATTGTGTATTTTTTTATTTTCTGACATTTTATATATATATATATATATATATATATATATATATATATATATTCAGGATATATTTAATATTTTATTATTTTATCCACTGTCACATTTCATTTTTTTCTCTCTTTCTATATTCAGAGAATATCTCATATTTATTTATTTTAAAATCATTTATTTACTTTTCCTCCTCTAATATTTTTTTCTCTCCTCCAGATTTCTACTTTGTTTATTTTGCAGATTTATTTTTCCTATTTTTGTCATGTCCTCTTTTCTTTTTCCTTCTAACTGTGAGATTGACAGCGGGAGCCTGGTGGGCGGGGATTCGCAGTCGGCTTCTCTCCTATTGGTCAATCTCAAAGAACTAGAGCTGAGTAGATGAAAATCATACAAGACAAATTCGAAGTTACAGAGGATGTTAAGAGAATCCAGAGTTTGTTTTTTATTACAGGTAAAATGTCCTTAATTATTAAAACTTTGACACTGGAATTTACAGTAAGAGCTATAAAGACAGGTCAGACTTTCAGTCAGGCCTCACATTGTGAATTTCATTGTAATTTGGAATAACCCTGCAGTAAACATTTTTTCCAATATCCCTCAAATAAGGTTAACTCCACAGCTACTTTTCACAGCTAAGATTTGTTGAACTTTTTGATACTATCTGCTTTTTAGAAAAGCCTACAGAACTGCTTAGTCATTGAGTTTATGTGGCAAAATGATGAATGGCAAAAAAGGTAATATACAATCTATCCTTTACAGAACAAAAAGGTAAAAAAAAGAAAAAAAAAATACGCCAGATTATTTTTCTACAAACTGAGCTAATTGTAAGTACTAATTAAAATTAAAAAGTCAGTAAGAAAATAGTATAGGTGGCTCATGTTAAATTAAAGAGAAGTATATTTTATCTGTGCAAGAAATAAATGTAGTTACCACATCCACCTGCACTTGTTGCAGGCTGCCAGTCCGTGTGTGTGTAGTGTAGCAATTAGCATGTGAATGTAGCACAGAGGTGAAGCTGCTTTGATGGGAGTTTTCCTTAACGACACCTATCCCATAATTCCAGGTCCCTCCATTTACCCTCTGCTCGCTCTGTGTTGTTGGATGAAGAAACATAAACCACCGCTGCTGTTCCTATCACAACGGAGGAGAACAGAGGCCAGCGTGGTTCAGCAGCACAGGACTGACAAGAACCCCTTGTTTGCACACAAAGAATTCAGCAGTGGGCTCGCTCCAGCTCTCTTAGGGCATACAGTGCATGTACTGGCTTATTTTAGACTGGGAGGGGTTGGACCCCAAATGCTGCCAACGCATTGGTTGGAGAAGGCTGCGTTGCTGACCAGTCATAAGGGGGAAATGAGAGTTCAAGACCATCTTAAGGACTTCGACAACAGACTGTCAGAAACGCTAGATAAATTGAAATGCGCCTTAGAAAGAAATCATTTTCCATGAGTACACCCCGGTTATCTCTTTGGGTTACCATGGTAACCTGGAACCAACAAACAAACACCATGTTAAAAGGGTCATTACTGTGTTTCTTCTAAGAGTGTCGAGCTTTGTTTATGTCGTAGAGCTGTGCTAATCTGAGGAAAACACTTTTTGCTCTCTTCTTTATTTAACCTTTATTTTACCAGGATAAAAACCCATTTAGATTAAAAACCTCCTTTCCAAGGGAGTCCTGGCCAAGAGGCAGCAACAAATACAACACAAAAAATAGACAGTTGAAAAATGTCAAGCTATAGAATCAGCCTTAAGGGCGTTTAGATGAATCCGCTGTAGTTGCCATCATATTTGTATTACATTAAAAATGAACTGCAATATTTTTGTGTTGTTTTCAGGAGAAATCCATTTCATATATTTATGTTACAAAGTTAGCGAATGAGCTAAAAAAACACTTGTGAGAGTGTCGGGGACGACAGACCGCCTGCAAAAATAAACTATTCTCTTTTTAGGAATTGGGAAAAACACTGAGTAGGCAACGCCTCAAATTTTGACAGCGTTTTTAAAAAGGTCTTGTGCAGTAACAAACCAACCAGCTACACCACTTTTCTTTATGCATGAGTTAGAGTCATCATATACGGGACAACTGAATGAAAGGCATGTGAGAGATGAGTTGAAAGATAAGGCACACAGAGAAACAAACTTACAACAAAATCTGAGCAAAACTGTTTGGTTTTCAAATCCTGTCACAAATCCTCTCACTCTCCAAATTCCTTACACTTTTCTGTCCTATTTGTAAATTAGGCAGCATGTAGTCTCTCCATCCTTGAGTTTGAAAAAAAAAAGAGAACGCAAAGGGATTAGAAAGAGGCTGAGAGAGGAAGAGGTAAGGAGGACGAGAAGATAATGAATGAAAGTGTCTGCAGAGTTTAAGGAGGAGAGAGATTGACAGGGTGCTTATAAAAATGTTTACGCAATCACATTTTTGGGAAGAAGCTTTTCATTTCCTTATATATCAAAGCTTCAACTATTAATAAAAGGTTTAAAGTTAAAGTAAGGACAAAGGATGAATTAGGAATTATGGTTTAATAAGCTCAATTGGTTTGAATCTGCTCTGAATCTGCTGTAGTTCTCATGCCGAGGCACTATGTGGTGCTGTGATTTTTGTCATGCACATGCACTTTTGACCCTTAGCTTCCACCTCAGTGCTTTTGTCACATTCATATATTCCTAATCAGATATTGTGTTAGCACAATACATCACAATGCTATTCACCAATGTTTTTCTTATCTGCCAGTACATGCATGCTTTCACTTCAAGACATGGTTTCGAAAAGTGAAAAAATCTCACTCCGATCACTGCAGACAAGTGGCTGGTTCAGCGGGAAAGAGGGTTGAAAAAAAAGGTAGTATCCTGGCCAAAACGGGAGACTTGACAGATATGCTCGGAGTATTCTGGATAACTGTCTGGTAAATTGCATGACATGGGTAAAACCATTTTGGCTCCTTCAACAAACGTCTGATAACTGATACATTTGAGTTAGTTGGAGGCTCACTGGTGGATGTTCTTTAAGGTCACACCTGAAATACAATGCTTTCTTGTTTAATACAATGGGAAAGTCAAAGGAAATCAGCTAAGATTTCGGGAAGAAAATTGTGCAGCTGCACAAGTCTGGTTCATCCTTGGAAGAACTCTTTACTTCAAAGGAAACAGAGATCAAGATTGCAGTTTGAAAATGCACACAGGGACAAAGATCTTCATTTCTGGAGACATGCCCTGTAGTCTGATGAAACTAAAGTGAAACTGTTTTGTTGCAGCTGGAAGAAGAAAAGGGATGTTTTCAACATCCTGTGAAGTATGGGGGTGGCAATATCGTGCTATGGGACTGTTTTGATGCAAGAGGAACTGGTACACTTCATAAAATAGATGGGATCATGAGGAAAGAGCATTATGTGGCAATATTGAAGCAATATCTAAAGACATCAGCCAGGAAGTACAATCTTGAGCTCAGTTTGGTCTTCCAAATGGAATATAACCCTAAACATACAGCCAAAGTGCTTATAAATTAGATTAAGCACAACAAAGTCAATGTTTTGATGTGGCAATCACAAAGTCCTGATCTCAGTCCTACAGAGAAATTGTGGGAAGATCTGAAAATGCTCGTGCGAGTGAGGCGGTATCCACTCGCACCAGTTCTGTCATGAGGAATGGGACAGAACTCCAGCAAACTGTGGAAGGAAACCCAAAATGTTTGACCCAAGTCATACAGATTAAACTTCAGACGCTGAGAAAAAATTTGTTGTGTCTTTTTATTCAGTGTATAAAAAAAATGAAACTTCCAACTGTGTATAGCATCCTGGAAATGGCATGTTCTCTTTCCCTTCCCATGAGCATCAGTGTGGTGTCATATTCAAAAAACAGAGAAACAGGAAGCCACTGATTGTAA